AAGAAACAATCAACATAGTAAAAAAACAACCAACAGAGTGGGAGAAAATTTTTGCAAAATATACATCTGACAAAGGATTAATATCCAGAATATACAAAGAACTCAAACAACTTTACAGCAAAAAAACAAATAACCCAGTTAAAAAATAGGCAAAGGTTCTGAACAGGCATTTCTCAAAAGAAGGTATAGGAATGGCCAACAGACACATGAAAAAGTGCTCAATATCACTCAACATCTTGGAAATGCAAATCAAAACCACACCGAGATACCATCTCTCTACAGTTAGGATGGCTAACATCCAAAAGACTGAGAATGATAAGTGCTGGAGAGGTTGTGGAGAAAAAGGAACTCTCATCCACTGTTGGTGGGGCTGCAAAATGGTGCAGCCTTTATGGAAAATGATATGGAGGTTCCTCAAACAATCACAGATAGATCTACCATAGGACCCAGTGATTCCACTGCTGGGAATATACCCAGAAGAACGGAAATCATCATGCCTAAGGGATACCTGTACTCCAATGTTCATTGCAGCTCTATATACAATAGCCGAGAGCTGGAACCAGCCCAAATGTCCATCATCTGATGAATGGATAAGGAAACTGTGGTACACCTACACAACTGAATACTACTCTGTTATAGAAAACAACAAAATACTACCATTCGCAACAACATGGATGAACTTAGAGAAAATTATATTAAGTGAAACAAGTCAGGCACAGAAAGAGAAATACCATGTGTTCTCACTTATTTGTGGGAGCTAAAAAGTAATAAATAAATAAACACACAAACAAATAAAGGGAAGTGGGTAGAAGACAGAATAACCACAAAAATTCCTTGAACTATTTAAGCCAAGTGCACAGATACGATGTAGGGGCAAGGAGGGGAGGGGGTGGAAAGGAAAGGGTAAAGGGGCATGAAAATCAAGTACAATGTATTTTGAGAAGTAAAATAAAATAAAATTAAATTTTAAAAAATCAAAATGAAGGCAAAAATTCATGATAAACGAAATATCAAAATTTTAAAATAAATACAGTATCCAGCCCAGGAAAAAATTTAAAAATTAAAAAAGAAGAGAGAAACCCAAATAACAAAAATCAGATATGAAAGAGGGCACATTACAACCAATACTCAAAAAGTACAAATAACCATCAGAGCCTATTATTTAATTTAAAATAATAATAAAAAATAAAATAAAATAAAATGAAAATAAAAATTGGGGGAAAGTTGAAATTCTGATGCCTTCAAATTTCTCCCACTTTTACTCAGGGTTCCTTTCACTCTAAAGTATCTGCTCTAAGTGAAATATTCAGGTTGTATAGATTAGAGATATAACTTATGGCAAAATATTTACTATACTAGGATTCTAATATCAACCAAGTAGGATAATTCACAGAATTTTCATTACAATGAGATTATACCAAGTATTGAGTATAATTTGTGCCCATGCAGGCTAAAAGGGTGACTACAACTCCCTAGACACTTTCCTTAAAATGGATGGACAGTTGGTTGACATTTTAGTTTTGAAATACACTAAAAACATTCTCCATGATTCAGACCTGAAATATTTCTAACCTTGGTAATATGCATGTACAGAAATCTCTACATAATCTCAAATGTGCAAGTTCTTATGATGTTGGAAGTGTTTGGAGTTGGTTTTCTGTTTGTTTATTTTAGGTTACTTGCATCTGTGAGAGGAAATTTAATAGAAAAAAACCCAAGTAGCTCCAGGGCACAGAAAAAAAAAAAAAAAACAAGGAAGTATTCTTAAGATAATTCTCAAGTGAACATATTGACTATTTTTTAATGAAAGAGCAAAGAAATGAATGAGTGAAACAAAACAGTAGAGTTAGATTTGGAAATTAAAACTGCTACCTAAGTGTGTGTGGAGAGGATAGCATATTTTTTTTATTTGTCAAAACTTTTTTTTTTTAATCACTGCACCACTCTATATTCATAGTTTGTTCATTTGAAAGCTACCTATAAAACATGACCTTAAGTAAACATAATTTACTTAATTTTGGTATTTAAAATACCTTAATAATATTGCACTATAGATACAAGCTATAATTATGCTTCTGAACAATATTTGTTTCTCATGATCAAGCATAATATTTTAAGAATATTCTTTATGAGACCGAAGGGGAAATTTTAACTAGCAAGATATGTGCTCAGTATCTTCCTTCTTTCCTTCCAGATATTTTCAAAGTGGTTATGTCACATAACTTTTCCGACATAGGAAATATAATGTTTGTAGCAAAGAGACTTGTGTTTCCACAGATGGCAGGAATGAGCTGGGATAATACTTTTTTACAAAGTACTTTTGCAAGGAACATAATCTTATTCAAATAAGCTCAGGAAAATGCAATTATTAAGCAGATACTCATTTAATGGACTCCAAGGTGAAGTTAAATCTCCAGGCACCAGGAGGGTCAGGAACCAGGCAGCCATAGGGGCCTCCACATAGATTCATGGACATAGACTCTCATGGTCCACCATAAAGAGTTAGAGTCAGGTAGTCCAGTTGGTTTGGTCCAGCCTATGTATGAATTGGTTCCGTCAGGCCAGCTGTACTCTTGTTTAAATCAGAGTGGTTGGAGATGTTGAGCAGTAGCAGGATTGGGGAGCAAAGCATATTTTCTGAGAAGGGGTATGGAAGGGGGGAAATAATTGTCAAATATAGCACAATCACTAAAATAATTAAAACTCAGATCATGCAAAGATAAAAATTATCACTTGCTTAAAATATAGCTCTAAAATTTCTGTGCCAACGTTTGAATTAACCTCCATAAAAGATCAAAGCCCGACACTGGCATCCTTTTTTTTTTTAAAGGAATTTCATAAATATAATTCAGAAGTCTCTACCTAAGATTCTTTATCTCCAAATTAGGTTGAACTTCATTATGACCAGAAAACACTTGCTGTTACTAATGCATGTGAGAATAACTGGTAGAAATAATTATTCCTTTAGACTTATTGTATAAATCATTACATACATTTCTTTAGCACTTAGTAATCTTAAAGCTATGCCAAGTAATCCAAACTACTAAATATATAAATAAAATAGCAAAACCAGATCTAAAGACATACAGAAGAATTTATTTTTTAATTAGCATTAGTAAATTACATATTAAAAAATATTCATGACACCCAATTCTGGAACTATGACTCTTAATAAATGTTCCAAACTCAGATATGCTTTTTAAAAGCTCAGATGCTGGTATTAGCATCTCAGCTCCCATCATATGAGCCACAAAGTAAGCCTCTGCTCTTTTTCTCTCTCGAGTATCATTTCTCAGAATGGTACAACAAGGCTTCCTTTCTTCCATGCATAAACATTCCTCCCCAGTAATAATTTTAGGATTCAACTAAAATCATCTGTAGTCTTCCTTCATCTTTATCCATTTAAACCTATCCACAATGACCTATGAATATGTTGCTCTCTGGCTCAAGTTCTTTAATCATTTTCCCTGGTCTACAGGATAAAGCTGAAGTACTTTTGGCAATCACAGAATGCACATTCATCCTTGACCGGCCCATTCTCTCCTCTCCAGATTTATCACCTTCCACTCTCAGCCTTACAGTTGACACTTTAGTAATAAGAAAATACTTATCACTCCTATTCACCTTGTGCTTCTAGGTCTTTTCTAATGCTTCTCCCTCTGATGGGAATATTCTTCTGCACCACCCCTTCTTTACCTAAGCAATTTCTACTCTCCCCTAATGACTCACCTCATACGAACGTTCCCTGAGCCTACCAACTGGCTAAAATTCCCTCCCTTGTGATCCCAAAGGATCCTGTGCATATCCCAATAAAAACATTTATGATATTGTATTGAAATTATCACTTAGTGTGTCTATTCCTCCACTAACCTAAAAGCTGGTTCCTGTTATACCACCAATACCTATGAGGAGTAGCTATTCTAGATTTGTTGAACAGAATGAAAGTTCTGATACAGACACCCATTAATACTGTTTCTGACAACAAAATAACATAAGCCCTTTTGTAGAGAATTTGAAACCCCTCTGAAATCTGGAAACTTACAAATTGGTTGTTTTAAAAATATTCAGCTGCTTGAGTAAAGTGAATGTAATGTTTTAATTTTTCTCAGTAGTTGGCCTCAAGAAAATGTCTGTTCATAGATGTAGCCCAAGAGCACTTTCCTGGCATGCTGGCTCAGTGCCTGGAACCATCTCAACACTTTGCCTAAAGCAAGGCAGTAACAGTTCAAGCAGCAGACAGGCTCATGGGTCTCAAGACATGGCTGAAATCATGCTTTTTCACATCAGAGTGTGGTGACGATGACTGTCTTAAACAATGTGATTTTATTCAATTACCCAAAACAAGCAGCACATTTCTGTTGTTCTATATCCCAAAGTCCTCATTATTTTATATTTTTTAAGCATACTGAGAACTTAAATAGAAAGTTCATAATGTTATACTAATATGAAAGAGAGATCTTTATAGGTAAAATAAATAAAATATATAGGTCACTGTATAATCAACTATTCAGAGATAATTTTGTGTCCGGCATTACCTACATCTCTCAGGTAACAGTGATTAGGAATTCAGCACTCTTGAATTGTACAGAAAATTGCTACAATTCCCCCATTTCACTATGCTCATATAAGAACGACCTAAGGACAATTTTTAAACAAGGCAAATTGAAATGAAGCCTAAGTAACAAGGTAAAATTCTACTTTCTTATTAACAATAGAGTTAGGAATATTTATAATCCATACTTCTGTTTCACATTCTGCAAAAAGGGCATAATCTAAAACTACTTTAGGAGACCTCCCTACAAAGGGTCTTTGTTCTCTGATTCAAATTCAGTTTTTCAAAGCACTTCAGTTATTAAAGAGGGGGTATCTCAGAATTGAACATAGGTAAGCATTACAAAATGTACCCTGTACATTTTCCCCCCTCTCTCCCTCATGGGTATGCACTCATTCATGCTTTCTCTACCTCATTTACAGAAGCCAGTGATAAAAAAGTTCCTTACTTAGTATTATGTGTATCAATGGTATGGAAGAGCTCATGTAATTCTTCTCCACTGAGAACACCATCTGCAAAATATGCTTTGAATTCTTCAAAGGATAATTTTCCATCATCTGAAATGGCAAGAACAAAGAAAAGAGAACAAATCATCTCAACTTTGTACATTGTTTTATCTTTTGATTTTTAGAACTTTGTCCAAATGCTTGTGTATTTTTCAAACAGAAAAAACAGTTCAAGGTGTTAAAAAGAAAAAATAGTTAAACATATCTTTATAGCACATAGAATGGAAATGCATACATTCTAATGAAATCTAAGTCTACATGGTCTGGGGAATTTTTTGGTTCATTTATTAACATGAAAAACATTTACTGAGCCATTTAACTGGCCACACCAGAAGGATATGTGCATAACAGAAGGATATCTGTATGACCAAATGAAGAGTCTAACACAGAGCAAATTATTTAGATGTTTTGCCTTCATGATACCAAGTAAATATAGGACCTAGCAGATTGCAAGATAAGTACTAGATGTTTAATAAATGAATATTGATTGCATAGATACTTACTGTGGATATCAGAGTTGTTATTACAGTCCAACAAACTATGTTTATTCCTATACCCTTTAAACCAATGAGTACTTTTAAAGTCAAACACATTTTACTTATGGTGGGATACAAAAGTGAAATACAATCAGAGTCTAATAAAAGAGACAGGATGTACAAACATAACTACAAGTATGTTGTACAACATACTTGTAGTTATGTTAGAACACAGTAAATGCAATAAGAGACAGGCGCACATTAAATGTATGGGACTTTGGGTAATAAAAGGTCTTTTCACTTGGGGGCATGAGTGGTTTTAGTAGCATTTGCATCTAACTTTGAACAACATGTAAAACCTGGATAAGCGTAGATGGAAAAGACATGTTGAGAACAGGCATAAAGAGTTGTACAAGACACAGAAGCAGTAAATCCAGACGGGTGAAGGGACACGGGTCGAGGGAAGTCTCGCACTTCTCTCTGCGAGGACGAGTTTGTCCGTTATCTCAGATGAGCTACCAAATGACAGTCACGGATGCAATGATCGTTTCCATTCCCAGTGAGGAAACTGAAGCCTAAGGAGGAAGGAATTTACTCAGGACCACAAAACTCCTGTAATGTGGTCCTACCAACAACACTACACTGAACAAAGAAATTGTCTTTGAGCAGAAGGTATGATTTAATAAGGTGGTATCTTCAAGACGCATTTAAAGCATTTTTTATTTCCCTCAAAAGATAGTCCACAGACTTCCTTGAGTGCTGTTAAAATGCAGATTCCTGGGCCCTACCAGAGAATCAGAATCTCACAGAATGCACAGAGGGGTGGGCAGACAAGAAATCTGAATCTTTAACAACCTGTGTGACTCCTCCTTACACTAACACCCAAGAAGTATTACTATAAAGTATAAAATAGGCCTAATCACTGAATTAATTACTTAATTTTTCAGATAAGAACTTAAAGGATGTAACATTTTCAAAAATCCTTATTTGTGAATATAAGAATAATATCCCCAAGATGTTTTAAGTTGTATTTTATTTTTCTTTTTAACTTAGGCACAATAAACCAATCTTCCAGTTAGTTCTTGCCAATAGTTACCTGGGCAGACATAGCTTAGAGGTGATTAAAATCCAGAGCTGAATCAAGCACAAAATGAGTTCCTGACCCCCAGTGACCTCCTGGATCAGTTGAGCTCAGCCATTCAGACAACATAGCAACTCTTTACAAAACCAAATTTAATCTACCAAGCTCATCAATTGCCTTATTGTGTGTTTCTGTTAAGTTATTTTAGTTTCATGCCTCATATGACTATTTTAAACTTCAGCCCCCGTGTAACCTGATGGATATGCTAGCCTAGGCTTAGTGTAGTATTTCTACTGTGCATCACCTTACATTGATAAAAATTATGTTGCCAGATTGAGGAACTGAACACAAACCACATCTAGGTATAGGTCAAAGAGAGAAAGGGAAAGAGCTTTTCATCTACTATTTGAAAAAGAATGAAATAGAGTATATTAGTCTGTCTCTGGTGCTTGTAATAGAATACCTGAAATTGGATAATTTATGAATAAATAATATTTTTTTGCTTACAGTTTTGGATGCTAAGAAGTCCAAAGTCCAAGGAACACATCTGGTGAGGGCCTTGTTCTTGGTGGTGAACTCTACAGTGATGCAGGGTATCACTTGGCAGATGGCTTGAGCAGATACAGACTAACATCCTCATCACTTTCCTTTTAAAGCCGTAAGAACCATGCCCATGACTACCATTAAACCATCAATTTACTAATCCATTTAGTAGGTCATGGTCTTCACAATCTAATCACCTCTTCAAGGCCACACCTTTCAATTACCTTAACAGGATTTCCTACCTTCTTAACACTGTCACAGTGGGGGAGTGGGGTGTTAAGTTTCTAATACCTGGAATTTGGGGTGACACAATTCAATCCATAGCAGAGAAAAGAAAGATAAATGGAAATCAACCCATTTCCAACTCCACCACTGTGATGTGTAATGAACGTAATGCATACATATTGATGGTGGGATATGTTTTCCTTGGTGGACACTTAATAGTTCTCAGGTGAGCTGAACCGGGCTATTATAGAACTCTGGTTGCCTATGCATCCTGTGGATAGGATGGGCATCTGTGTTAATGCTTTACAATTACAATAAATAAATGATGTCAAATAATAATGTATATATGAGTACTATCAAATAAAAGCATTGACCAACAAGTGCTCTGGTGATTCTCTGGGGCTAAAGTTTTTTTTTTTTCTTAAAACTGTTATTGGAAAAAAATATAAAAAGAAAAAGGAGGCACTGAATCACAGTTCTGGCTTGAAAGGTAGGAAATACTCTTATGTTTTACAAGCCTGTTTTTACCACATGTAAGACTCCTGAAAGTCTTCCATTCAGGCTGCCACACTACTAGACAAACATTTGCAAAAAGTTACTTATTAGTAGTTCAAGACTAGTACCTTAATGTTAAACAGAAGTATTACATTTTTTAAAGAAAAGGTCAAAAAACATTTCTTTGTAGTGTGATTTTATATTAATAAAGCAATCATATGTTTTTATTTAAATACTTTATTTCAACTTCAATATTCCTTCTGATGTTTTCTTTTGAAATGGAACAGCACAGTTAAACCTTGAGTTATACTAGTATAGCTCACAGAATAGCCAAATCTTATGAGGTCTGATTTCCTGATGATAAATCTCAACTTTTACCACAAAAGGTCACAAGTTTTTCACCTTTTTCCATTAGAATTATATACTTTGTCTGACTTTGTCCTGAGCATAGTTGGCCACTCTCTGCTTTATTTTAAAATTATTCTGACCTTATATTCTAAATTCCATTATCTTTTTTTTTTTTTTTTTGAGATGGAGGCATCCAAGTACAGTTGCTTAGAGCAGTCTTAGAACAGAAATTGAGTTTTAAACATGGATTTACCATTTGCTAGTAGAGCAGTTTCATCCACTCTTTCATCAAATACTTATCAAGATCACACCATGTGCCAAACACTTTGGTTTGAGCTAAGAATAGGTAGACAAGCCCTTATCAATCTTAGACATGTGATGGAAGATATAGCATATGGACAGCCAAGTACAATATGATAAGGGCAATTCTAGGGGACATAGAGTGAAGTATGAACATTTAGAAAAAGAAACTATCTAAATGTGAAGGAATAGGGAATGTTTCCCAGAGGAAATGACACTTCTGATAAGACACAAATGTAAAATAGGGGTTAGTGAAGGAAGATCTTTAAAGAGAAAGAGTATTTTGGGCAAAGGCAATGAAAATGACACAGCTGGGAGACAAGAAAGGATATGGGTTGGAAACTGAAAAGAAAAATCAGTACACTCAGTCAAAGAGCACATACCTGGAGGGAAAGTGAAGCCAGAGAATTAGATACAGAGGGACAACATCATGAGAAGCCATAAAAATCATCGTAGAGTTTTAAATTCACCCCAAGAACACATGGGAGCCATGGTCATATTCTAGAAAGCAAACTGTGAGTGTAGCAAGTGGAATGGAGTGGAGAGGGATGCCACAAGAAGAGAAGACCCGCTCAGAGGACAAAGCAGAATTCTGGGCAAAAGTTAAAAGTGGAAGAAACTTCGGTAGTGACAGTGAGAACACAAAGTGGACAGATTTTTCATCTGTTTAGGAAATAGAATCAACTGGCGATGTTAGAGTTAATGGGTGAGAGGGAACAAGACGTCAAGGCTGATATTTGCTTTCCAGGACTGAGCAAGGGTGGGCGGCATCACCATCCATTGTGAGAGAGAACACTGGCAAAAAGCAGGGAGTGTGGTAATGAGTGCTCTCTTGGAGATGTTGAAATTAGAGAAATAAGTAGTGGCATTGAGTACACAGTAGAATCATATAGGTCTAGAAAAGTCGGGGGGGGGGGCTTGAGATGTATGCTTGGGAGTTACCAACACATAGTAATCGAGGTCCCAGAAGTGAGTGAATTCTAGGGAGAATGCCAACAGCAGGAAAGAAAAGGGCCCAGAAGGATTATATGTATATACATATTTATATTTTGTTAAACTTAATAGATGAAACACTTTCTATCAAATGTACATATCACCTTGTACAAGTCATTTAATATCACTGTACATTAATTTCTTTATCTCTAAATAAAAGCTTCCTCCTGTTCTGACCTTCTAACGTTATATATTTGTTTTAAAACAACTTACTAACTATATAAATGAAAATAAAATAGAAGCTCTTCCAATTTCAGCTTCGACATGTAAATATTTTAAGACGTGGTCATTCCTGTCCTTAGAACAACAAAGAGCTGCATAAACTGACGTTTGATGACTTTTCTTGGTTTCATCAGAGCACCGAGGCCATAGGGCAAACTGCTATCCAAAATCTGGAGGACTAGGCAAAATCAGAGAGTCACAGCTAAGATCTGCTTACCTGGAGCAGAAGCCACTGGAACTACAAACTGATATGTACACTTAAATGGTAATTTTGATGGATTGCTGGAGTCTGACTAGCATGAAAGAGAAAAACTCCCGGGGGCTGCAGTTTCTGGGGAGTTTTCATACTTTGGTAGATTTTGCCTCCA